GTAGCGAAACGATTTCGTTTCATTGGTTATTGCTCACTGTTTCGTAACTATATGCCAGACCTATATTACGTGTTACGAATGGACAAATTGATTCATGACTTCTGCCTTCTTACCACTTCGATGTCAATTTTTTTTTCCTTTTTTTTGGATTTAATCTTTCGAGGGATATTTACATGTACAGTCGATCACAAATACATCCGGCCATATTGAATATTCGGTATAAAGTAACAATAAGTACTCAAAAGGATATATACTTTTGGGACCAATTATACATATGTGTATGTTTTGTTTTAGTTCAGTGATATTTGAAAATATAGTAGAGTATGATTCATAATGCTCATGAATATATTTTACGAAAATGTAATTGAAAAATAAAAAAACAATTTTTTTTTCAATTACGTTCATAAATTTAATCCTCGAAAGATTAATGTTTATTACGCTTTTAAAAGTGCATATAGATTATGTGATGATCTTTTTAATAAAAAGTTTTAGTAAAAAGTTCATTCAATTTAACTATAATACATTAAATATATATTAAAAATAAATTAAATAAAAAACTTGATTTAATAAAATTTCACACAAAACATTTAAATTAATCTAAAAATACAATAGAATCATATGAACTCGAACAGAATAAAAGGATTAAACAGATTTATTTACTCAGTGACTAAGTATTCGAGGATATTATTTGAAATAACCATCCTTTGCTTTCATGTAACATATCATAAGTATCTACACGAAACGGTTAGTTATCACAGCGTATGCAGGATATTTAGTTAAAACATGATAATCAATCTAGATTATTAAAGAACAAATTTACATTCCATCCATATATTATATTATCCGATTATTTTTAATAAAAATTGCCAAAAATATAACTTCTTTACGAATCTCCAGAAAGCAGCATTTCCTTCTATCATCATCATTTTGATGAACATGTCGACGTGTTATCTTTCTTTCCATAATTATTTTAGATATAATTGATTCTATTTCTATTTCAATTTTCAATGAAATTAAAAAAAAAATAAAAAAAAATAATGAAATATAGAGTAATCAGTTTATTTTACAATAATTGAAAGACAATATCTAATCTAACAATATTAAACAATACTTTTTGTGCGAAATTACTCTAGCACAAGTTAATTCTATTTACTTTCTTCTTTTAGAGTCATTAAGTTAAAAATACATCGACAAATTGACCACCATTTTTCCACAAAGTTATTTCCATACAACTTCGTTCGTTATTCGTAACAGGAAATTACGCGACGAACCGTCATGATTTCCATGAATGATGAATATAATCTCCTCTTTGGTCCAGGTGGAAACGGTTTAAAACGCAGCAGCGAAAGCAGTACATAACGGCGTTGTAGTACATAATTTTGTCACGGCTTACGTGAGCGGCGCACGTGTCCCGAATTCCGGATCCATTATGAATTCGTAAGATCGTTGTACCGACAGCTCTTATGCGTACGAATTCGATCGCCGTTCGAAAAACGTGGCATGCAAGCTAATTATCGGATTGACAGTGAAGCTCACCCGATTCAGATCTGGATTCCGACTGCGGACTGCTTAGAACTTGCCGGCTCCCCGATGCCTGCGAGGAATCCTGTGCAACATCGAGAGAATAAGTTCCATTTTCTGTCGACGCTAGATGGCGTTCGTTTTAGTTGTTGGGGATCGAGTTTAATATGTGATTTTTTTGTCATTTAATATTATTTTTTGATGTATGATATATAATTAATTAGTTACATGGATCGAAATGTAAGTTTATCAGGTATAGGCAACGAGTTGAAGTTTAATTTAAATTGATAATTTAAATCAATATGGGATTGTCAGCATCATTTTTCATATCTAAAATGTGTCTATTTGACATATTTCAAGAATTATAGTTATAGAAAATAAAGGTATTGTATAATATTATTTTTAAGTTTTTCGAATAAAGAAAACTAGTATTATTTATAGTAGTTCATTCATAGATTAGATATGAAATAAATCTATCATTTAATGCATTATGAAATTCTTCTAAAATTTTTTTTGTATTTTTTTTAATTCAAGAAATATTTTATTGTACATTTATTTAGAGATTTCATTCTAAAGATCAATTTAATATTCCACGTTAATCTAAATCAATAATAATCTAAATAAATCTAAATCTATAGATTGATCATGATAATAATTCGTATGAACGTTCAAAGACAATTAATTCTCATTACAATTAATTATAATTTGTTTCGTAATGCTATTATCTCAATTCCATTTTGATTCGATAATATCACGTATGATGCAAGAAAGATAATAACAACCTATAGCCCTTGGATATTTATCTAATAAAATACATATTCTCGTAATAAAACAATACAAGTATATCTTTTCCATAATTAAATTTCTCTTCAAATAGATTAAAATTTTTGAAAACATTTATCATATACTAATATTGTACAACATTTTATACATTTAACAATATTATATAAAATTCATCTAGAATAATTTTTTTTAACTTTAATTATTTTTCTGACCTTCAATTTAAATCCATCTTCGTATTCATTCTCAATTGATCAAAATACAGAATAAATTTTCATCAATGCAACGGATAAAGATCGATTGTCACATATAAACAAATCAACAAGCCAATGCGCACAAGCGAGGAATAGAATATTTATACGAAATTTTCCATTTATTTTCATGGAAAGGGGGCGCGTGCCCGTATGAATTAAATGGAATCTATCGATCTACGTCCACTCGAGTCCATTTGTGGTGACCTGTCGTTTCCGCTTTTCATTCCAGCCCCCCCCGTTATCGGTAATCCATAAGTCCCTTTGTGATAATCGCAATCTCAACGAAACCCTCCCTTTCGTGCACGTTTATGCTGTCAATAGATCAATATCTTTTTCAGGGGATGTGTTTGACATTGGCTGCACCCTGCACTTAGAAAAGGGAAAAAGACGAGAGATACGAGACATTCTTCGCGACAATTTCAATCGTTCAATTGATCCATGTTTGTGTTAATTGGTTTGAACAATAGTGTAGAGCATGTTGGACTATATATAGGATTCTTCTTAAATATTTGTTGAATTTTAATCCTTTAATTAAATTATTCATTGGTAATATGCATTGGTGAACAAAAATATAGAAAATGTTTTATTACAGTACACTGCTATTTATTATCGGGACAATAAATAAAAGAATTATTAGATCGATAATAAAGTACAATCGTTTACTTTTCTTCTCAGATAAAATTTTATCTTAGTTATAGTTATCTCTTGGTTAATAGACCATAAAGAATATGTTATGGTATAATAAAGAGTTTGTATAAGAAAATTGATGTAAAAAAAAATGTTGATTGAGTTGGTTTATTCATAATTATAATATTAATATTATAACATTATAACCTCGACTCAATTTTCATTTTTTGCTTTCAAAATAAAATCGATCCTCTTAAGACGTTCCACGAATATATTAAGTATTCTATATAATTCAATTTAAAATTTTCCCAAAGGAAAAAAAGGAAAATAATATTGATAATTATCAGCAAATCCTACGATGCAAGGATCTTCAGAAAAGGAATATCAATTTGCAATAGAAGACAGTCTTTTTTTTTTTTCTCTCTCGATGAATTCTTCGACAGACACGATAAAAATAAACGAGTAGTGGAGTAATGTCTAGTCCGAGCGTCAAGATGAGATCTACGTAACGTTCTGTGGCGGACAGATAGGAGTGCCAGATTGATCGAAAGCGCAAAATATAATACTCCGTATTGGGTACTTTTGTTCTCTGATCGAGTATATCAAGTATTCTGGTCGAGTAACAAGTGGTGCACGCGTCATGTCACGTGTCAGGCGCAATGCACATTGCACACTACGACCTGGCCACGACGGTGCCTTTTACCTGAAAACAGAAAGATGAATATTCCTTGTCGATAAAAGCTCGTACTCTTTGCTCCTATCCCTTCGTCAATCTGTTCGTTTTCATCGTACGTATTGGTAAACATGTGATTTCTTTCTTGAATTTTGCATTTCATTTTTTTTTTGTATCATTTTTGATCTTTTTAATTTTTTCACGTTTAATTCGATAAATTTATCGTTAAATCTTTTCTTAGATTGGATTAAGACGCGAGAAAATTAATTTGGAAAAAAATTATTATTAAATTATTTTAATATCGAGCAAACGTGTGAAAATTTTTATTTATCGTTGTTTTCGTTTTTTTTTTTTTTTTAGATTCTAAATTAAAGGAAAGAAGAAAGTTTTTATCAATGAACGAAACAATAATTTATTCGATATATTTGATTGCAACGATTATTTCATTTGTTTAACATTTTTTTTTTAAATTTGTTTTTTCACGATATTCCATTTTGATTCCGATCAATTTGCGTTTATGAGGCCAGTTTATATTGAACATATACATTATTCATGAATATAAGTAGCAATAAAGTCGTCTAATTAAAATAATTTGCATTATACATATAATTAAAATTAGCCAAAATTGGCAAGCGTTATTAGATTTCAGCGTGGCAGTGTAAATGTCGATCTCTAAATTCAAGGAGAAAAATGAGGGAATTTTCGGGCAAAAATATGGCGTTCTTTTGGTTGGACCGACAGACGTTTATTAAATTTCAGTCCGTTGCAAACGTTGCCTCGAGGAGATTAAACAATTTTATTCCTCGCGTCGAGAATCTTTCTGTTAAAATTGACGGATCAATTAGAAGTTCTCGTAATATATATTTTTTTTAACGTGGTTTCAATATATTTATGTCGTTGAATACAAAATTAAAATTGAAACCAGGAAGTAACGTTGAACAAAATATTCTGTTGTCAAACTATTATATTTTATTCTCAGGATTTTATTAATTAACTATTTTAATTAATTATTCATATTTGTACGAATTTTTTTAAATTAATATTTTTTAAAATTGTAAAATTTCTATTTTTACATTCAAATTTATAAGAGAGAAAGAGAAAAAGAAATTTTATTTAGAATTAAATTAAATTAATTTCCAACATTATAATATATTATTATATATGTTATTATTAATACATTATATATATGGTATAAATATACATTATATGCATCCAATCCATGTTTTCACAAACATTTATTAAAATTTTTTTCTCATTAATTACATTTACTTCCTTTAGATGTATTTATTACATCTTCTGTCGTCCATGCAATCATTCACAATAATTATTTCATTCAAACATCGCAGAGTTGTCTATATACAAATGTATAAAAAGAAGAATATCTTTATTATAATAATATTTATAATAAATAAACTGCAAATGTTTCTTTCAAATTCATATTTTTATGAATACAACTAAGAAAATATTATGTGTATATTTTCGTGTATTTAAATTTCTTATATAAATGCAGTCTAGTAATAATCCTTTCATGACAATGAACTCTTCCAATCCATACGAACTATGATATTCGATATCAATATCATTTTATTGAAAATTTTCTTGAGAATAATAATTTTCTTGAAATAAATAATTGTTTGCAGGTAAGAAAATAGAAATCATACATTAATACATTCAAAATTACGTGATTTCATTTAAAAAACAAACTTGATCTTCATATGATGTATCTTCTACATCTCTACATTATTGTCTGCACTATTCAATTTTAATTTAAAATATTTTTTAATATTATTGAAAATCAAATCAAATTATTTTGTTCACCCTGTATATAGTCATTGATGAGGTATAGAATATGGATCATTATTTATTACAAAAAATATGGATAGTGGAAAACATGTAGCAAAGTTATATCGATTCAATTCTTAAAGGATTAAAACGAATAGTTTAATACATCTTTCATTATATTCCATTATATTAGATCGTATTATATATTCCTTTACTGTTTCAATTTATAATAATGTCTAGTTAACTATCACGAAATTATCTTTACCAATTCTTTACTATAAAATTGGAATTAAAATAAAATATTTTTTCTCATATTATTCATAAGAAATAATATTTTTCTTCCTCTCTCGATTTTCACGAAACCGAGAAAATTCATCAATCCGTTTCTAATCACATTTAATATAGTTAATATAAAAAATACACGATAATTAAGAATCAATTTTTCTCGAGTCCATTGCGCTCGTTGCTCTTTTCACTCTGTTCAACACCGACATAATGGACACTATTTCTGGCATCCTGACGCCTTTGCACATCCTTCGTCAGCATGGTCATGATAAACCCAATGAGCAGCGCTACACAAAGGCCCACGTGCACCGGAATATCCCCGTATACCTCGAGCAACCGACCCATTATCAGAATGAGAACAATCCCGTAAACGTTTCCAGCCACGTTCAAAATTCCCGCCGTTATCCCCTCGGATTCCGGATACGTGTATTCCGCGCACATTTCGTATCCTAAGGCCACATATCCGACTAAGAAGTACCTGCGGAAAGTAATTGCGTTTTAGAGGCGGATTGGAATCAATTGCAAGTGAATGAATTCCAGGGGAAAGAGAATCTCTTGGAGGACAATTTTCGATTATGAACAAGTGCTGAAATTTGCGATATGATTTAAAGGGAAAATAAAATTTGTTATTTATAAAATAATAATATGAAATTGACGATGAAGATGATAAATATTTAATTGTATAAAATTATATTTTTGTTTTCCATTTCTGTTTTATTAATTTTTTCTTCCGTTTATTTTTTTTAAATTAATTTTGGTGATTCGATATCAATTGAAATCATTGATCGAGAGTTATAAATTTTGGAAAAGATTGATTTGGAAAAAAATTGGTTATTGTACAATTATGTTTTATTTTTAATTTTAATTTCAATTTTAATTACCAAAAAAAAAAAAAATAAATATTCTTTATTATAATTAGCTAAATCCACTGAAAGTTAAAGTTAATAAAATACCAAGTTTTAATAAAATACCAAGATTTCGTTTTTTTCATAAAATAATTAACAAACGCGAATGAAATAAAATTTAATTTTATATTAAATATTTTATATTCAAAAAAATATTTACGAATTTGAAATGGTTCGATATTAATAAAAACACGATGATATATGTATTTGTATACAGTACCCTAGAAAAACGGAGCCCAAATACACCATCCATTTCATTTCGAGGAACGTGAAGGTAGAAAAGAATATCTGGCCGCCGAGCGAGAGAAAATACACGACCACAGCCGTTTCCCTGAAAGTATATGTGTCCAATTTCGTTAAAAAATATTAAAAAAAAAAGATACATATAAATATAAAAAAAAATATACGAAGCGCATGTTAAAATAGTGAAAGTATCGAAAGGTTGATCCATTCTTATATCTATAACTAAAATGAATATGATTAGCATTGTTGAATTTAGAAACATTGAATTGTGAAAATTTGATGAATGTATGCGTGTATATATTTCAAGCGTATTTATTTATCTTTAATTTTATCGAATATTCGATTAAATTATTGATATTGAAATATTAAAACGATCTCCAAATATTTCCTATATTTTTCATTTCGTATCGTTTAAAATGGATCTTACATTATATTATTTTATTTAATATTATTAATGGATAAAATAATATTTGATAGAGAATAATTGTATCTGAAATATTCAATAATTATTGACAGTAACTTTGCTTGAAATATATATCCAGAATTCTTTGGCCAATAAGCGGCAATAATAAAGAAGAATAAAATAAAATTCATGCAACGATAGAAGAAGATAATAGAAAACAATTTGACAGAAGCGGAAGATAAATTTTCATAAAAATTTTCTTACTTGTACTTATGCGTTTTATCGAGAATCACTCCAAAACTGACAGAACCTATCATCCCTGTAATGATCAAGACCAAACCGATTCTACCCGCGTCTTCCTCACCATTCTGTAAAATGTTCAACGTTTCATAATTCATAAAATTTCATAAAAAGAATAACTAATCCTTTATTACGTCGATACATCCAATATTCTTTCTAAAATTCGAATTTTTTAAAGATAAGAAGAATAAATATTCCTCAAATGCTGCTCAAAAACTGTTATACCGTTTTAATCAGCTCACCTCGAAATGCACGAGATATATTTGATTCAACAATGTTCCCACGGCGTTTAAAACACCGATACTCAAACCATACGAATTGCAAAGAGACATATAATACTTGTTCTTGAACAATCTCTTAATTGGTTCTATCAAACTTTCCTCGACCTGCATTTCATTCAATTTTTGAAGAGCTCGTGTTTTACTCGGTGGTATTTTTGGATCGTCCTCGAATACTGTACAGAATAAAATTTTCCCTCGTATATATTATATTCCTTTAGAATCCTTTAGATATATATTATTATATGAATTTATATAAAAAAAATCAAATAATTATATTATCAAAATAATTTTAAGAATTTTTATTAATTTATAAATCTTATTAAAGGAATTTTCGTTAATTCTGGAATACCAAGGATTTTCTCGATATTTCATTTATAAATTAAAAAATGATTCTTTTCTTAGAAATAACTTACGTATTACGATCAATATAAGTACAACTGTTAAGATGATAGCTACGCCCCAAAACAGATGCGACAAGCCAGCGCCAATATCATCTAGATTCTCGTGATTTTTCACGATTATCGGTGTAATTAAGAAACTTAAAGCTATCCCCATTTGGTTGCCAAAAATGCTTAATGACGTAGCCGTGGAAAGTTCGTCGGCGGCGAACCATTGCGCTGCCAGACGTCCGGGTAACGTTAGAATTATAGTCTGAGACGAGAAAATAATAAATAATAAAAATAAAAAACGCTTAATTTATAAATAATAACGCAATTAAATTAATGAATAAAAAAATTAAGAAACACGTATTCGATTATATAAGATCACAATGTATTATATATATAAATTATATAAAAATGATGACTTATTGTTACTTCTTTATAATATCTCAAAATAAATGTTGCGTTTTCTTTTTTTATTTTTATCGCACGATGATCATTCCATAGACTTGGAAATAACAATATATCTCGGAAGAGAAGTCACAAAAGTTTCATTAAACTCGAAATGCAGTCAGTGAACGAGAATAAATCTTTCTACGGAGATAGTGCCTCCGGGTTAAATCCATGGTGCATAAAGTTCGACCAGACTTGTAATTCCTTGCATTAGCAATAATTTACGACACATTTTCACATATTCGTTTCTACCATGTTTGTGATTCGCCCGATTATTGCAACATGTTCGATCTCTCTTGTTTGGGCAAAGCCTGCGAGTGTAATCCTTGAAACACGTGAAAACTCGATTTTAAATATTTTCGATGAAAATTACGCGTGCAAACTGATTAAACATGTGTACGAAATAATAATAATTAATGCAGATATAATCGATTGTGTTTCGAGTCGTATATTATAACCGTTGTTTACTGATTGATTTATTGTGTCGCTTATCTTGTTTTATACTACTTGTAACTGGAACAGTCTGATATAAACAGAGTCATATCACTTGTACCACGTAATTGCATGTCATTTTTATTTTTTTTTTTAATTTTGTTTACTTTTTTTATTTTATTCGAATTATCCATTATCGTTTTTTTTAGCATTTGATAATTATAAATATAATTATTTTTTTTCTTCTTTTTTGATTTTAATTTTATTCTCCAGGATATATAAGATAAATCGATTTAAATCTCTAGTTTAATTTTTATTCGAAATGATTTTTTATTAAAACTTACTTTATTTGCTTTTCGATTTTAATAATTATAAATATACTTTTTCTGGTTTATTTTTTTAAGAGATCGAAGCGATTATTTTTTGTAATATAATAAATATTTTTTACGTTACAAGATAAATTGAATAAATATTATTATTTGTTTTTGAAATGAATGAAATCTAACCTGTGTAGAAGCAACCAAGGATTGTCCAATGAAAGTGACCCAAAATCTGTCAGGACTGACAGATAAAACCTTAATCCACGAACCAAAGCACGTGATACAACATCCTATAATGTTACTCCATCTAAGCCCCCATCGGTTCACCATGTACGTGGTAGGAAAGATGAAAATCAGGTAATAAGCCATAAATGCCATTGCTGTCCAGTCGACAGCCAATGAAGAGACTCCATAGTACCTGAGAAATGTTTTTACTTTCAAATTTCAAATTTTTCTTTCTTAATATTGCTGAATTCTATTTATTCAATTTATTCAAATTTTGTCAAATCCAATTTTTTAATGAACCATAGTAAGAAAATAAAGTTTTTTAACTTATGTAATATCATTGAGTCTATTTTGTCTATCTGAAATTTTTTCAATGTTCTAGTCTTTCAGAGATTTAGAAAAAATTTATAGTTCATTCATTATCTCTGTTTCTAGATTAATTATTAAAATGTTTCTTTAATAACAATTGAAAATAAAATGTTGATAATTTTTAAATGGACCCAAAAATGTTATAGAAGATTAAATGAAATGATATCATATAGATATTTTTACATGTTTTGAAATATGATATTGAAAAACATGCTAATTTGGAAGAATTAATTCGTTATCTTTGCTTTGTCATTTGGGAAATGGAAACATTTTATTGTTTGCTTATTTACTCTATTGTACATTATCTGTTTGCATTTTGTATTAAGAAGAATGTATCGAGAGTATATATATAGAATTTGTTTAAAAAGTCAATAGTTAATTTTAACGTAGATGACGAACATATTACGAGTTTTTATTTGATTTTTGATAGAACAAGAGGAAAATTTTAGGTCAATCGTTACAAGTTTTTGTCTTATAATTCAATTCCTCAGAAATACAAAAAAATATAAGTCTTTATTTTGAGATATAATAAATGCAAAAAAAAGAAAAATTACAAAATAAAAAAATAAATTAATAAGTTACTTAATTTTAAAAGAATGTTTCGATATCTTTTGACAAAATTTTCAACAAAATAAAAATTTTTAATATACTAAAAAATATTCTTAATACTTTTTGAGAATTTTTTCAATTTATATAAATGTTATATATCATAATTCGAAAAAATAAAAATTCAAATACCTGCTCACTATATTGCTGACTATAGAATATTGAATCCATTGGAAGTTGCTCATTCCCGTGTACACGATAAATAAACCCAGAATCAGCCATCGTTTCTTGTAAATCTTCGTTTCCAACGAATTACCATTATTTTTCTCATTCCCATTCATCGTCTTCACCACATTCTTCACGCACAATACCTCGTTCAGATCCTTCTCGTCCGTCATTCTCATCCTTTCAAAAATTGTCAATCTTCCCTCTCAATTTAATTAAACGAATAAACAACTAAACACGATCAAAATTTTTATCAACAAATTCTATATATATGTATAATCTAAAAATCTAAAAATCTGATACCTATCTCTCAGAATTTTTTCATATTCTATAACCTAAATATTTTCTTCTATAAATTTTTTCGAATTCTTCACGCGTGTTCCTCTTCGATCGAAGAACTTACGAAACTTCAATCTTTTCCATTCACAGAGAATCCGGTGCACACTTTTCACGATTTCTTTTCGAAAACCTTCGTGTTCATCACCTTCAATAGCGAAACCAATAACCCAGACTCTGCATGCACGGAGGAGCGAATTCTTCGAACTGGATTCAAAATAATCGCGTCTCCATCTCGATCAGAACACAGTGTGTCTACACACAAGTGCCATCGCCTTATCTCGATACGCGATTAAACAAAAGATCGTCTTATATTTGCGACTGGCTATCTTCCGTATTTGTCGTTATCGCGACTTTTATCGCATCTCGCGTCGATCTTAGCTACGAATCCAATCGATCCATACTTCAGTTCATCACGAGCCGATCGCGAGATCGTCTATCGATCACTTTATCGATACATCCTCCCTCCTCATCGTCTCTGTCCAATAATTTGCCGATTTTGCCCTCCTTTTATTTTTCCCTTCATTTTGAGCGTTAAACCGGTTAGAGGTTTCGTGAAATTCGTGACAAAGAATTAAGACTCTTTTATGACATCCATCAACAGCATGATCTCGATGCAAACACATATTAATCTTGGCGCTTGTCTCGAATGGCGAGACGTTTATGAGGAGAAAAAAAAAATATCTGACGCCATTTTATACGATTTGTCGGTTTTAGTCAATGTTGCAATATTACGATTTCAAATGATTCTTTTGTCTTTCTTGTTGTTTCTTTGTTTGGAAATGGGTGGCCTCTATTCTTTTAATATGTTTGAAAAATAATATATTTTTTATATATTTGAAGATATAGATATATTTGAAGAAATATATTTTATATATTTGTAAGGAATTGATTTTGATAATAATATTAATTTTATACTATTTATATTTATTTTTTTACCATTCTCTTATATTTTGATCTATTCTCGTTTTATCAGAGGATAGTAAGATTAATCGATTTTATAAAAAATAATAATTTAAAAGAAATCTTAAAATTTTTTTCTCTTTAAAAACAAAGAAAACTAATAATTAATTATATAACACTAATAATAAAAATAATAAAATAATAAAATAATTATAAAATAATAATAAAATAATAAAATAATTATCAAACAAATTTTCAGTTTATATTATGTAAATAGAATCTGTGATAAGTTATATAATTGTAAGTCGTGCTTATCGTTGATATCTAATTTAAGCTTCTGTTTACTTTTCCATCGATATTTTCAGGTTTCAAATCTCGTTTCAAATCCTATTCAGAGGAAAGTGTGATAAACAATAAAGTAAAATGCCAAGACTTCGTTTCGATTATTCTTTATCAATATTGTGTAATCATAAATTTAAATTTTAATTCAATACATTTCGTGATCGTTGCAATTGTATAAAATATTTTATGTTCATAATAGTAAATAAATATCGTATAATAATGAATATAACAGAAGTTTATTAGATATTACATTTTAACAATAAAGACAATGCAAATTTGAGGCTCTCTTTGAGTTACATAAGTTTATAATTTATTACAAAATTAAACATCTCCAACACAATCCTCTCCATAAACTTCGAGACACTCTTAAATGCATTAACATCAAACGGTAACATTAAAAAACGTCGGAAAAACTATGAATGACTGAGTGGTGCATACGGAAATTTTTTTTTATTTTCCATTGTAAAAATATGTGACATTCGCGTGTGTGGTACAGTACCAAAATTTACGTCCTGCAATTAAAAAATTATATTATAGACGATTATTATAAATATTTCATTTGACAAAAAAATATTCGATTAATAAAATATATATTAAATATATCGAAAATCTTTCCCTTCAAAATTAATTAATTAATGATAATTCAAAAAAATTATATACATATATTACATAATATATATTAATATTAAATAATAATTTCTCTTAAGAATAAACAATCTCAAACAAATTTCAACTCAAACTCTACAAGATCGAAACATCCTTCTTAATCAATTTTCCAATCCAAAATTAAAAAAAAAAAGGAAAAAAAAATCACGAATTATATACATCTAATTTCAAAATCTATTAACAATTTTATAATTTCGATTCTCATTTGCCTTATTTATATACGTATATACACAACAGACTCAACAATTATTTATCGATTCTAACTAACTTCTTACGAAAAAATATATTATCTGCTCTGAAATATTTAATTATAAATATCGACACGCTTCGTACGACACGCAAAACACGACTGTCGTAGTTTAATTTTAAACGAGGCAGGCACGCAATGTCGGTACTTCACCACATCACGGTTACCTTAACATTATACGCGCAACATCGCTCTCTTCTTTCTCGTTTTAAATTCTTTTTTTACTCCCGATAATCGTTCTATCTGTACACACGCATACCTGTACCATGCCCCAAATCATCCGCTCTCGAAACGAGCCCTCGAAAATATATTACAAATTACGACGGATCGCTATCGTGTTACGAAATTGAAAGTACAAGTTTGTTGTTTTATCTCGTTATTTCGTACGGATTAATATTAAAGTGTCTCGTTTACATGTACATATAATATATATATATATATATATTTATAATATATAATATTTACGTATACAATATATCGTACATTTAACATATGTCAACTATGTTAAACGTATAATATATTTTATATTAAATTATATTCAATATATATATATATATATAATATATATACAATTATATATATATTTATTTGTATTTGCATTTATATTTATATCTATACACATTTAGTCTAACGATTACTCGTATTGTATACAATTTATTGTTTATTTATTACTATGTAAACGTTTTTTGAGACTTTAGTCCAGTACAATTGATATTTTAACCTGTTAACGTATGTGTACGTTATATATATTACAAACTATTCAATTCACCGAGCAACAGTTCACACAGGCCGACACTCTGAATGTAAAAACACGTGGAAAAAGGTTACTTTTTTTTTTTTTTTTTAAATATTTTATATTTCACTTCTTCTCAATATTATACTAATTCTTTCAACCCTTAATCTCAATACTTTTTTACTTTAGATGAAATTTAAATTTCTTATCCGATTACTTGGCGTCGTTTTATCGTTATGGTAAATTAATTAATTTCGAGTTTAGAATTTTATCACTTGAGTAGAATTAATGAATTTTGAGTATTAATGCAATGAATGTTCGAGATATCGATTATCTTTGGCTAATTGATTTCTTTTAGCAATCAATTCGTGTATTTTCGTCTTTGATCTCGACGAATGTACCTCTTATCCTTGGTCGAGAACTCAACTTTCGATCGAATAACATACACACACACACGAACACACTTTAATTTATTTTTAATTGGATAGAAAATGAAAATTTATTTAAGAATTTAGATACGAGACTCATTGTGTAAATTTTTGTCTTAGTTTTTAGTTAAAATTAATCCACATTAAAATATATGTAATTCGATTATAAATACACTTTTACAAAAAATTATTTTATTTATAAAATAATAAAAAATATTTCTAACTTTCTATAAATCATAACTTGTCAATATTATCAATTAATAATATTACTGTAAAAAAATTACATATGATTATCATGGATCGATGGAGATTTGTGAAAAGAAAAAAATAAATCCTCAATTTGACCTTTATTTCTTTTCAAGAAATTTTTTTTTACTGCATCATATAATATTTTGTTAAAAGAAACAAAAATTTCAAAGGAATCAATCCACAAGTCACAGCCGAATCATTCTTTCAAAAAATGATTTTAAAATTTCCAATAATAATTCTCAAATTTTCTTATAATAATATAATAAAATTTGACTAGAAAAATACTATAGTCGTGACATGTAATTTTTATACACCCTATATATATATATATATATATATATATATATATAAGAAGAAGAAGTAGAAAAAATCATTCCATCTACTCGAAAGTCTCAAAGAACAACTAAGAGGAGGAAGAGCATGGAACGAAATAACCACGGTACATCGCCACAGGAATCGAGTTCCGGTTTTCCGCTTTGAAAGCGTCTTTGGCCAAACGTTCAACAACCTCTACGATTGAAATTGATCGAAAACGGCCGATCGCCTCGATAATATTATTTGGCACGGTTCAACGTGTTTCGTGTGCGTGTGTTTACGCCGTTCGTCGTGTGTACAAACGCGTTAATTCCCTCTGCACAAGGAGTACAAGGCTCGTACAAGGCTCGTACAACTCGTTGTAATTTCTGTTCCTCTGAATTTTAACAATACCCGACACCATATTTCCCCGGATGCCACCACGGATCTACACCGTATAAATAATTGAGGATTTTCCTGTTTTCTGTAAACCAGGAATTGAAACGGGCTCCTCCTGCTCTTTAGCTTCCGGTATCTCGAAACTCAACGCGATTTTCCATTGGAAAGTTAAGATATCTCCGACCTGTATATGTATGACGGCATAACGATAAGTTCGTACACGTTATTTCAGCAGATGACTACAACAGATCTAATTAGTTTTAGCATTGTGGTGGAGTAATTTGTGGTTCTTCACTCTTGAAGAAGAGAAATGAGAAATGAGAGAGGTGATGGATGTCAAGGATTTGAACATAATATAATATTTTGTAATTTGTGAATGTATTTTTTTGACAATTGAAAAATTTTAATCTTAATTTCATTTTGAGAATGTTGTATATGCTAAATATATCAGAGTAATAAAAAAGTAATGAATAGTAAGATTGTACGATTATTTTTTAATAAAAATTTTTTCAGTAGTAAAAGATAATAAGATTTGGAAAAGATAATCTCCATAAAATTTTTGACGTGACACAAGAGATTCGAAGTTTTAAATCTTTCATAGGTTAATTTATTCATATAAAATTATTTTTATATGAAAGATATATATAAAATTAAAGATAATAATGATGTTTTATAATATCTCAAAAAAAATTTGTTAATCAATATTCTTCTGAATATTTTTTAGAATTATTTTACGAGATTAAAATTTGAGTAATTTGCAAATACAAAAATAAAAAAAAAAGAATGAAATTTAATCATTTATAAATCGAGTTCCATAAAATAAATCTTCTTTATTGGAGTACTCGACTTCGTGAGTACATATTGAACTTGATCCAATCACTGTCAAACAGCTTCGAGAAATTTGATCGTGGCGAATATTTGTTTCAGACAATTGTTCGATGATACTTGGTTTTTTTTTTTATTTGGAAAAAATTAAAAATAATATAGAACGTTACA